GCCGAGGCCTGCGCGGGGGCGTTGCCCCCGGCAGGGGCGCCGCCCTTCGAGGGCGAGCGGCTCCCTGCGCAGGGCGGGCGCCCTTCGAGGGCGAGCGGCTCCCTTCAATGGGCGAGCCGCCCTTTGAGGGCGAGCGGCAGGGGATGGCCGACTGCCACGTCCAGCGCGGGGCACGCCTCTCGCGCCGCGCGCAAAAGTGGGCGCGGCAGTCCGTCCTGGCCACAGGCACCGAGAGGGGCCACCCACCAGGGATGCGAAGCACTGCCCACACTCGGTAGAGGGCAGACAATCCACCTCCATAACAATCACCCCGACACGCGAAGCCGTTTAGTAAACGCACCCATGGCAGGAATCGACCAGGCCAGGACTGCATATATAGTAAACACTCCCCAGGGCCGCTCAGCAAACGCGAATGATCTGGCCTGGGGGGGGGGTCCTCCCTCGACTCGGGCCAGTGCCTCCAGAACTCTGGAGACGCCTCTCAGGACAGGAGGCCCTGAGCCTGGAGATGGGGGGGCCAGGCCGAGACGGCGGCGGGCGAGCGGCTTCGCGCGGGGGGTTGCAGGCCTCCGTGCCGCCTCCCTCCGCAGAGCTGGCCTGCCGCAATGACTCCCAGCGCGCCGGGCGCGCTCCGCTTGCCCGCGAGAGTGCACGCCAGGAGGGCCCGGCAGCGCTCAAGGCCCGTCCTCGCGGCCTCCAGCGGCTCACCAGCAGATGGACTTGAAGGGAAACTGGGACACACAAATAAATACACGCAAATAAAAAGATTCCCCATATTTTCCTATATTTTCTGGGTTTTTGTCTTCCCCACCACTTCCCATATTTTCTCATATTTTCTGGGAATTCGACGATTAATTGTGTCTGTGTTTTTTTCCCTCCTGAGGACTGGCGGCGTCGAAAGCACCCAGCAAGAGCGGCCGCCGCAGTGTCCGGGGAGGGGGCGTGTGCACCACGGGATGCCAGCCCAGCGCTGGGCGCCGGGTGGTCCACGGGAAGGGCGGCGAGACTGGTGCGCGCCCTCGGGGCGCGCTACCAAAGCCAGGAGAACGAGGAGAGGTCGAACTGACACGTAGTAGTGCGACTGAAATGAAGGGTAACGATGGACATGATGATGGTGGTGACGGTCCGGGTGGAATGAGGGAAAGGGGGAGGAGGAGGAGGAGGAGGAGGAGGAGGAGGAGGAGGAGGAGGAGGTGGAGGAGGGAGGAGGAGGGAGGAGGAAGGAGGAGGAGGGCGGAGGAGGAGGTAGGAGGAGGCAGGAGGGAAGGGCGGAAGCGGATTGAGGATGAAGAGTGGAAGGGATGAAAGGACGTGGGGGGGTGACAAGGAGGAAGGTGAACAGGGGGAGAAGGAGAAGGAACAGGAACGAGAGGTTAAGGATGAATGGAGAGAGGCATGAGGAGACAGGTGAGGAGCACCGAGCGCGGCTCACTTGCCGTTCTTCCTCTGAATGTAGCACGCGATGTGGAAGAAGAAGGACATCGGCAAGAAAAGTGACTCCTCGGAAGTCCCCAGGGGGTCCCCTAGAGGACTCCCCAGGTTACTGGAGGCCTCAACGGGTCAAAGTCATCCGATAACCTCGGATGCCCCTCCGCATCCCCTCCTCGTCCTCCTCCGCTTCCTCCTGCTCCTCCTGCTCCTGCTCCTCCTCCTCCTCCTCCTCCTCCTCCTCCTCCTAGGGGGCTCCACGATGTAGGAGACGTTGAAGTTGAGGCCTGAGTCCACCCTCGGGAACTGCGGGTCAAAATACAGGAACTGGAGGTTGCCATACAGACCGATGCCGAAGAACAGCATGGAGAGGTACCTGTCGTCGGGGTCGTCGTCGTCGTCGTCGTCGTCGCCATCGAGGTGAGAGGCTCAAGGAGCCGGGGGAAATTGGGAGGAGGCGAGGAGGCAGCGCGTCATTCAAGAGAGACTCCCAGCTTGCACGGCCAAACGCTTTCGGCATCTCCCCCCTGGCCGGGAGATCCACCGAGTGCCTCGCCGCTTTCTCGATCGACGGGCACGATTCGGAAGAGAAAGCAGCCCCGGCGAAGCACCCTAATAGTAGGTCGGGCCTGTCCCCCTACAATTGTTTAAATATGAAGAAGGGGAAATTGAAGGTACTCCAAAAATGCTCCCAAAATGATCAACAATACTCAAAAAACGTTCCCAGACGATTTTCGACTATTTTTGAAGACTTCTCCTGTAGAGGGACAGGCCCGACTTAACCCTACTAGCAGCCTGGACGAAGGTGAGAGAGAGAGGGAGAGAGAGAAGATCGAGAGCACGACTCCTGGATGGATTTTGAGGAAGACTCAGACGAGACGGCTGCCAGGCCAGGCGTCTGGGACTCTTCTGCGGCCCTTGCTCATCACAACTTGGAACCCCGCGGTCGCGGACACGAGTGAGGGGGCGGCGGGATCGTCGGCAGTCTGCAAGGCTCTGAAGAAGCCCGCCGCAGGAGCCGATTTGTCTCGACAGACAACGAGCTTGCCGCAGGCGCCGAGTTCTTCGTCAAAGCAATGTGGGCGGGTCGAGGGTAGGTCGCCGGTGAGTCGGGGGTGGTTCGCGGGCGGGTCGCGGACGACGACGACGACGACGAGTACAACGGAACAACGCAACAACAACGCAACAAGAGTCCGCACCGTGGGACCCCACTTCAACCACGCTCCCAGGGACAACGAATGCCCGTTCGGCCTCCTCACTCTGATTCGAGCCCACCATACCGAAACGCTGACAGGGAACCATTTTCGAAGCACCCCCCCCCATCTTGGCGGCGCGCACAAGGCGGTTGGGAGAGGGGGGAAGTCTTCTTAGAAAGAGGCTACTTCTTAGAGGGCACCGGCCCTACATCTACAGAGAAGGGGCTGGGGGGAGTTGGGAGCTGGGGGGAGTTGGGAGGCCTCCTTCGATAAAAGAAACAACTGCGTAAACATATAAGCTTTTAGCTCTTCGCGCGATGTTCTTGGGTCCGCGCCGGACCCCCCTCCCGCGCGGAGCGCTCCGGGGGCGGCGCCGGAGGCGCCGCCAGGGGGGCCCCCGCGCGGATCGAAGAAACTCGCGCGGAGCGCCAAAAACTAATGTTTGGCGTTCTTTTCCCTTCGACTCGAGGGCGCCTTCCCCCCCTCCCCTCCACCCCGCTCTGCGCGTGGCTGGCCATATCCTCGAGCCCCCCACCACCACCACCACCACCCGCAGCCTGGGCCGCGCGCCAAGGCGCGCCGCAGCACGCGGCGCGCGGCGAGGCCCCCGGGCCCCCCCCTCCCCCCCCATAAGAGGAGGAGGCGGGGGAGGAGGAGGGGGAGGAGGAGGGGGGGCTGAGGAGGAGGAGGGGGGCTGAGGAGGAGGAGGAGGAGGAGGAGGAGGAGGAAGAGGAGGAGGAGGAGGAAGAGGAGGAGGAAGAAGGCTGAGGGAGAGAAAGAGGGACTGAGAGAGGAGGAAGAGGGAGGAGGAGGAGGAGGGAGAGGAGGAGGAGGAGGAGGAGGGAGAAGAGGGCTGAGGAGGAGGTAAGAGGGATGAGGAAGGAGGAGGAGGAGGAGGGAGGAGGAGGAAGAGGAAAGAGGGCCGAAACGGAGGAGGTAGGAGGAGGAGTGAAGAGGAGGCGGAAGGACGCGGAGGGGGGGCCCGGCGGAGGGAGTCGAGGGCCTCTCCGCGGGCCCTGGGGGGTTGGGGGGGGGGTTCGGGGAAAGAGAGGGGGAAGGCCCCCCTGCGGACGCGGGTGGGTCCATGCAAACCGAGGCCAGGCGGGCTTTGCAGGGTCCTGCAAGAACCTGCTCCTCCTCCTCCTCCTCCTCCTCCTCCTCCTCCTCCTCCTCCTCCTTCTATATTGTATGCCCAGCATGTCTCGGAGGTCCGGGGCAAGCTCTGCAGGATCCTGGGAGATCTGGCGCTCTGGCTGACCCTCGTCTGCATTCGCCCCCTCGGCACTCGAGCCCCGAGGTTCCTGGCCCTACGGCCCTGCTGGCTCGATCCGGCGTGAGGCACAAAGCACGACCCCCCGAAACGGCAGGACGGAAGTCTCGCACTCTCGGGGCCGAGGGCTTCAGAATGTTCTGGGTGGTCGCTACCTCGTGATTAGTGTCGCGCCGCTGGTGGAGATACATGGCCGAGTGCAGAAGCCATGGGTGCCAGTGGGCCGGGGGTCTGTCTGTGCTGCCGCCGGCTTTCGCTGGGCTTCCGCCGGCTTCCGCGGGCGCCCTCGGCCGCGCGCGAGGTGCCTCGCCCCTGATGGGTCGACTACGACGCCCTTTCTGACCGCCTCACATGAGCTCGTTGGAGCTGAACGTCTTCAGGTTGCCGGTGACGTTGCTCGTCATCTTGCCGTTCTTGTAGAGCGGGTTGCCGGGGTAGTCTGGACGTGCGCCCTGCGCCTTCTCCCGGTGGGCGTACATGGGGCCCTTGAGGTACTCGGTGGTATAGTCCAGGTACACCTGCTCGAAGAGCTTGGCGTCGACGGCGGACTCCGTGTACTTGCCCTCCGCCCTCCTGGAGCGTTGCTCTCCGCCCCTCTCTCCTGCCATCCCCGTGCAGCATCATGCATGAGAGGCCTTCCTCCTCCCCCTTCCCATCCCTCCTCCCTCCTCCTCCCCCTCCTCGCTCCTCCCTCCTCCTCCCCCTCCTCCTCCCACCGCCTCCCCCCCCCCCTCCTCCTCCTCCTCCTCTCCCCTCCCTCCTCCTCATCTCCTGTCCTCCTCCTCCTCCCCCTCGATTCTCCTCCTCCTCCTCCTCCTCCTCCCTCCTCCTACTCCTCCTCTCCTGCGCTCCTCCTCCTCCTCCTCCTCCTTCCTCCTCTCCTCCTCCTCCTCCTCCTCCTCCAGTTCCTCCTCCTCCTCCCTTTCCTCCACCCCGTCCTCCTCCCCCTCCTCCTTCCTTCTGAGCTCGACGAGAGCTTGTGCCCGTCCAGACCGCCAGGGCGCGGATGCGGAGGTGTTCGCTGCCCGTGGGATGGCGAAGGACCCGCGCGCTGGAAGAGCTGCGGTGTGTCCAGGGTCGTGGCGGCTCGAGCCTGCCGCGCAACAAAGGGACGTCCAGCCGCGGGCCATCGGCCGGGCGCCCCGCGACGGCGGAGCGCCCATGGTGCCGCGCGGGGAGAGTAGGAGTCTAGGCCTCCCAGATGGGGTCGGAGTAGATGTCGGCGGCGAGCGAGGGGGGGGGGAACGAGAAAGGGGAAGGCCTGCTCGGAAGGCGGCGGGACTTCTCGGCGGCCCTCGCGCCCTCTGGGGCGCTTTTCCGTGTGCCCTCCGGGGAAGCCCAGGTCCTCCTCCTCCTCCTCCTCCTCCTCCGCCGCCTCCTCCTCTTCCTCCTCCTCCTCCTCCTCCTCGTCCTCCTCCTCGTCCTCCTCGCTCCTCCTCGCTCCTCCTCCTCCTCCTCCTCCTCCTCCTCCTCCTCCTCCTCCTCCTCCTCCTCCTCGGGGCCTTCTGGTGCGCGATCCCGCGGACGCGTGGCCGCGCGGGGGGTGCCTCCCGCGCGAGGCATCCGCGGAAGCAGGCCCCCTGTGCGCGGGGTCGCGGCCCAGGGGCCCCGCCCGTGGGGCCGCGGGTGCGGACGCATCCGCCGCCGTGCCGCTGGGCACGGCGCGGGCGTGTCCTTCAAGATGGCCCAACGATCGAAAACTCGAGAAGCAACAATCAAACATAGCAAACAACAGTCGTCCCCAGACTATTTGTTCTGAGTGCTTTTGAGTATCCCCCCTGCAGAGGGACAGGCCCGACTTCATGTCAGGTCGGGCATGTCCCCCTACATTGAGGGATGCAGAAACGCCCCTACCCTGGGTCACAAGTACGTGGTCTGTCTACCTCCTGGGAGCTCCCAAAGGCCCAAGGAGCCGAAAGGACGCCGCGCGGCACGCGCGATATGCAGGGCTTACCGCGTCGGCCCACAGGAGGTTCAGCGCACAGCGCCTCGTAAACCAGGGTAGGGGCGTTTTTCACGCCATTGACAGGGGCCTCCCAAACGCCCCAATGTGTCTCCGAGAGGCCTCCCAAGAGGGCGCCAAGAGGCGAACATACGTGTTTCCCCTTAGGTGTTGGAAGGATGTGGGCGTTCTCGCCTTTCCTGTTTTCCGACGCTCCAGGGCGCCCCCAGGGGCCCACAAAACCACTCCAAGACGGCCCCAAGGCGGCCTCAGAGCGCCCCAAGACGTCCCAAGAGGCGCCCACGACGGCCCAAGAGAGACCCAACACGGCCCCAAAAGGAGCCCAAGAGAGGGAACACGAACCGACACTCCGAGTATTCCGCCCCGAGAGGCCCCCAGGAGGCCCACAAGAGGTGCCCAAGAGGCCCCCAAGAGGCCCACAATCGGGTCGGGCGAAAGGGGGGGATAGCAAAGGGGGGGTTTGAGAATCAGCTCGCGTAGCTGATTTTCCCAGCGCCTCCCGGCGCCGGAGGCGGCCATGTATCGAGGAATGGGCCCCTCGGTGAGGCCGAAACCAGCTGCATGCAGCAAATTTCGTAACCCCCCCTTTCCCAATCCCCCCCTTTCGCCCGGCCCGACACAAGAGGCCCCACGAGGCCCCCAAAATAACAACAAAAGGCCCCCAAAGGCCCCCAACCAACTGCCAAGAGGCCTCACAACTGCCCCCACGAGGCCCACGAGAGGCCTCCCACGAGATCCCAACGAACATCCAATAGGCTTCACGACCCAGGCACGGTGGCGGGATGGGCCGAATGCCAGTATACATACATACACACGTACATACATATACATATATATATATATATATATATACACGATATATATATATATATATATATATATACGACCACCCTTCTGGTAATAAAGATGCTGTCGGGGGGAGAGTGGGGGAACCAACATCTGACTCAATCGATCTCAGTATCGATCTCACTCAACGGGACACCACGGGACACCACGGGACACAACGGGACACTTGTCAATCTCACTATCGACCTCACTATCGATCTCACTCAACGGGACGCCACGGGGCACCACGGGCCAACACGGGACACCACGGGACACCGCGGGACACCTCTCGATCTCACTATCAGTCTCACTACCGAGCTCACTATCGATCTCACTCAACGGGACACCATAGGACACCACGGGACACAGCGGGACACCTCGGGACACCACATCGATCTCACTATCGATCTCACTATCGATCTCACTCAACGGGACACCACGGAACACCACGGGACACCTGTCGATCTCACTATCGATCTCACTATCGATCTCACTTTTCGGGAAACCATGGGACACCAGGGGACACCACGGGACACCTCGGGGCACCACATCGATCTCAGTCTCGATCTCAGTATCGATCTCAATATCGATCTCACTGTCGATCTCACTCAACGGGACACCACGGGACACCACGGGACACCACGGGACACCGCGGGACACCGCGAGCCACTGCTGGACGGACGGACGGACGGTCGGGCGGGGGATAATAATTTGTCTTGGCTTCGACCCAGCAACGGCGGACACCATGGGACACCACGGGACACCACGGGTCACCACGGGACACCGCGGGACACCGCGAGCCACCGCCGGACGGGCGGGCGGAGGAGAATCATTTGTCTTGACTTCGCCCTAGCAGCGGCGGACACCACGGGACACCACGGGACACCGCGAAACACCGCGAGCCACCGCCGGACGGGCGGGCGGAGGAGAATCATTTTGTCTTGACTTCGCCCTAGCAGCGGCCGGTGCATTCCTCTCGCGCGCCACGCAGCTTCGCCTCGCTCGCACGCGCGACACGAACGAAACGGAACGATTTCCTGGTTTGGAGTCTCCGTTCCACTGCGATCTCACCACCCAACCTCCGATACATACTGATGCATGTATGGGATGTATGTATTTGTATATATGTATATATAACGGAGGTTGGGGTGCGACATCGCAGAGGAACGGAACCCCCCAGCTGGGAAATCGTTTCGTCTCGTTCGTGTCGCGCGTGCGGGCGAGGCGAAACTGCGTGGGCGCCCGAGAGGAATGAACCCGCCGTTGCTAGAGCGAAGTCAAGACAAATGACTCTCCCCCTCCCGCCCGTCCGGCGGTGGCCCCGAGGTGTCCCGTGGTGTCAAATGGTGTCCCAACAAGTGAGATCGATAGTGAGATCGACAAGTTGAGTGAGATCGATCGTAAGACCGATAGTGAGATCGATAGTGATATCGATGTGATGTCCCGAGGTGTCCCGTGGCGCGGCGCGACCCTGTCGTGCTCCCACGGCGAGGCATTGTGAGCATCCAGGCCGGCGAGCTTTGCGCCACGCCGGGTGCGCCGCGCGAAGCGCTCACGATCTTCGTGCTGCCTCGCCGCCCCGTGAAGAAGAGCAACCCGGCAGCCCGAAGCGCGAAGCGTACTCATCTTCTGCGCCGCTGCGGGCGGCGGAGGCGCATGGATTCTCCCGCCGCCTTGGGAACACCCCACGCCCTGGGTGGAGGTTACAGGTTTCTTGTTTGCGCTTTTCTCGCAACAAAGTGTCTGCAAGGGCCATCTCTCGATACGATGTATCTATCTATCTATATATCTATCTATCTATCTATATATCTATATATATACCTATCTATCTATCTATCTATCTATCTATCTATATACATATGTCATGTGATGAAAGATGCACACGCGCACGCAGAGAACTATCCATGTTCTCTAAGACTGGGATCTTGGTACTAGTGGGGCCTTTCCGCCCAAGTCTCACTCCCGCCTTCTCATTTCTAAGACCAGACCCGGTAATGTTCACACGTATGCTCAAACTCAGGCAAGCTCATATTCAGATCACTCGCGTTCAGATCCATTCATACTCAGGCCACCTCTATCCAGACTCACTCACCCAGACTCATACGCCCTCAGATTCACTCATACCCAGGCGAACGCACACTCAGACTCACTCGCACTAAGGCTTACCCACGCCCGACGTACTCACACTCGGTACCACTCACACTTAAGCCCACTCACGCTCAGATCCACTCACATTCAGACTCACTCACACCCAGCTGCTCGTACCCAGACTCACTCACAATCAGACTCGCTCGCACTCAGACCCAAGGAGGAGCCGGCAGGGACGGGGACACTTGCCGGTTCGAGGCCAGATTGGGAGGATGTCTCGAGTGTTGCGCTTGTTTGGGGTGCCCGACTCCTCCCCGTTCACAGTCCCACGAACACTGCGATGTACCAGGCGTCGCACGCGGGCACCAAAAAAATCAGCCACCAGGGAGCAACGCTTGCCCGTTCGCGACCAAACTGTGGATATGTCTCGAACGAAGCGCCCGTTTTTGCACCTCCGACTCCTCGCTTTGTAGTCCAATGACCACCGCGGTCCACCAGACAAAATACTTGGCACCCACAAGGGCGGGCCGCCAGAGGGATGCGACACTTGCCTGTTCGCGGCCAGATTGTGGGGATGTCTCGAACGAGACGCTTCCTCTGCACATCCAACTCTTCTCATTCCCAGAGCCCCGTGATGACAGCGATGTACCAGGCCGAGCACTGGGGCACCGCAAGGGAAGCCGACGGGAGGTGGATGTCTTAAGCGAAATGCTGGTGTTGGCATCCCCGACGCGTCTCATCTCAAAATCAAAGGGATCATCCCGGTCTGGCAGGCGCGTCGCACTTGGGTACCCCAAACGCTAAGTCGCCGGGGAGCGCTCCGCCGCCACAAGCTGAACTCTGTCACCCGGACAAGCGCAGCGGGAAGTGCCAGGAAGTGAACCGCACACATGGGGGATCTCCGCGTCGAGCAGTTGTTCAAGGCAGGCGTGGGCTCCTCAAGATCTGGAGTCGGTGGCTCGTGGAACCGGCGCTCAGGGGCACGCTGAGCGCCCTACGGGGCACGAACCCCACGTGCGAGTGGTGCCGAAGTTGGCCCTGGATCGCATGTGGACGCATGCGCTGGCGCTTAACATGGAGCTCCTGCGGGGCACGATCTGTGTGGGGATTGCGCCTGGCGCCCTACGCGGAGCTCCCCGTGGGGTACGATCTGCACGAGGGGGGTGCCAAAATGGGCGTGGAGACGCTACAGGAACCGACATGGGCGGGGACACGCCATAGAAGCGCCCCGTGGAGCTCCCTGTCGGGCACGGGATACAAGCGGGAGGGGAGTACGCGCAGCGCTGCTGAGGGAAAGAGAGGACAAAACAGCATCACAGAACGTTAGGGAACTGGGAGGAAGAGGCCGTCGTCGTCGTCGTCGTCGTCGTCGTCGTCGTTGTCGTCCGTTGTTCGACGTCTTTGTCGCGTGTCCTGGCGGTGCGGCCGTAGATGGCCGCCGCAAGCCCAGCGTGTGCGCCGACGAACGCGGCGGCGACGGCAGCGCCAAAGCCCGAGGCCTCCGGCTCCTCGGCGGCAGTGGCGCCGGCGCGGCTCGCGAACGGTGCTCCTGCAAGGGCGGCGAGCGCGATGCGACGTCTCGGTCCACCACCGCGCTTGCAGCAGCTGGTGTGTTCGTGCGCGCGTGCGTGTGTGTGTGTGTGTGTGTGTGTGTACGTGCGTGTGTGCGTGTATGTGTGTGTGGATGTGTGTGTGTGTGTGTGCGTGCGTGCGTGCGTGCGTGCGTGCGTGCGTGCGTGTTGTGCATGCGTGCGTGCGTGCGTGCGTGTTGTGCATGTTGTGCGTGCGTGCGTGCGTGTTGTGCATCTCTCTCTGTCTTTTTTTTGTCTCTCTCTCTCTCTATATATGTGTGTGTGTGTTTGTGTGTGCGTGTGTGCGTGTGCGCGTGTGTTTCTTTGTGAACGTGGGTGGGTGTATCTGTGTATATATATATATATATATATGTATAGGTGTGTGTGTGTGTGTGTTTGTGTGTTTGTGTGTGCGTGTGTGCGTGTGCGCGTGTGTTTCTACGTGAGCGTGGGTGGGTGTATCTGTGTGTATATATATATATATATATGTATAGGTGTGTGTGTGTGTGTTTGTATGCGTGGGCTTGTGTGTGTGCGCGCGCGTGTGTGTGTGTGTGTGTGTGTGTGTGTGTGGGGGCGTTTGTGTTTGTACGTGTGCGTGGGTGTGTATATATATATGTATACTAGAACCATCGCGCGCGCTTCGCGCGCGCTCAAGTTCTAGCTAGGCTCGACAGGCTAACGCATGGAAAATCAATGTTCGAAGTGCCTTGTGCATCTAACGACCTCGTCGGAGTCCCTGCGCAAGCCTCGGAAACGTGTAGAAGGGGAAATGCGGAAACCACTAAATCACACATTCCCTTTAGGTGTTCGATGTAGTTGGGCCCTCGATGGCTTCCTGAGATCTTTCTTCGGTGGTGACGGGGGCCTTAAAGATGGCCCGTTGTGCAAGAACAAGCCGAGGGTAAGTTTGAAAAAAAAAGGACTTCCTGGAATCCCTTTGAAGAAAGATTGCCATGCCTGGGCTGTGGGTCAGAAGTTGACTGGACCGTGGACTGTTGAGACGCCTCTCGGGGCCCTTGGCGGCGTCTTGGGAGTCTTTCGGGGCCTCTTGGGAAGCGCTACGGCGTGTTGGTGGAACGAACAAGGGCTCCCAACTTCGCGTTTCGCGCTGCGCGAAGTGCGAATAACCTCGCGCTCTCGCGCCGCCTCCCAGGGCAGAAAAGGGAGGATGAGGAGGAATCAGAGCCGAACCGAGAAGCGCGAATCACCTCGCGCCCTCGAGCCCTTGAGAATGAAGCATGCTCGCAGTGGAAGGGCAAGACGCGTGGCGGTGCCGGCGTGCCCGGGCCACCACGGCCTCAGCTCCGCTTCCCCCGGGCCCCGCGACCTCTGGAGACCGACGCGGGAGGAGGAGGAGGAGGAGGAGGAGGAGGAGGAGGAGAAGCAGGAAGAGGACGAGGAGGACGAGGAGGAGGACGAGGAGGAGAACGAGGAGGACGAGGAGGAGGACGAGGAGGAGGACGAGGAGGAGGACGAGGAGGAGGACGAGGAGGAGGACGAGGAGGAGGAGGAGGAAGGAGGGAGGAGGAGGAGAGGAGGCACGGCTTCGACCTCGAGTGCCCGCCCCGGACACTCGCCCCTGGACCGCGTCTCGCGGCCGGGGGGGCGCCCAGGACCCCACCGCTGCACCTCGAGCGTCCCCTCCGGGGTCGATCTTCGAAGGTCCCGCGGCCTCCGACGACGAGGGCGAGGAGGAGAAGCAGGAAGAGGAGGCACGGCTTCCCCCTGGACCGCGTCTCGCGGCCGGGGGGCGCCCAGGACACCACAGCTTCAACCGCGAGCGCCCCCTCGGGATCGATGTTCGAAGGTCCCGCGGCCTCCGGAGGCCAAAACAGGAGGAGGAGGACGAGGAGGACGAGGAAAGGAAGGAGGAGGCACCGCTTCAACCTCAAGCGCTTCCTGGGGGCCTCTCGAGGCCTCTTGCGGACTCCTGGGGGCCTCTTGGGAGCTTCTGGTGGGCGAGGGCTCGAAATGTCAGTTCGTGTTCCCCATCTGGGGCTCCTCTTGGAGTGTTCTGGGAGCTCTTTTGGGCCGTCTTGGAAGCTTCCTGGGCCGTCTTGGGGCCCTCTTGGGCTGTCTCGGTGGTCTCTTGGGAGCCTCTGGGCTCGTCTTGAGGCGGTCTTTCGGGCCTCTTGGGCCGCCTTGGAGCGTCTGGAAGCCGAACTGGGGAGAACGCCAAAACCTTTCAAAACCCACAAAAAATCAGTGACAATTTCCTATTGGGCCCCTCCCGAGAGTGCTGTCGGAGATCTGCTGGGACGCTTTGGCAGCTTTTAAACAGTCTTGGAGTGTTCCCGGGCCGCTTCGGACCTCTCTTGGGCTGTCCTGAGGGCGTCCTGGAGCCATTTTAGAGGTTCCTGGGAGCGTCCTGGCGTCTCCGGCGGGGGGTGACCACAGCCACTGGGCAAAGTGAGGCCCCCCCCTGGTCCAGGACCCCCTTCCCCTATATATATATATATATATATATACATATATATGTGTATATATTTATATATATATATATATACACACGCATATACATATGCATATACATATATATGAATGTATATATATTTTTATATACATTCATATATATACACATATATATATAGAGAGAGAGAGAGAGAGAAACATACGTAAACCATGTAGGATTGTGCACATAGGAGAAGGACAATATATAGAAACATACGTACGTCGTCCAAGGCGCCTCGGAAAGCGCAGAATACTCCTCCAAGGCGCGGAATCATGTTCCCGGACCGCCTTCTGGGAACATGATGGGGACGACCTCCTGAGGACCTCCAGTGGGCCTCTTGGGGGCCTCTCGGAGGCCTGTTGGGCTCTCCTGGAGGCGTCTTGGGGCGCGCTCAGGGCCATTTTTGGGCATCTTCGGGGCCTCTTGGGGGCCTCCGGGGAGGCTCTTGGGGGCCTCTCTGGGGCCTCTTGGGGCCTCGCGGGGCCCTCTCGGGGCCCGCTGGGCTCGCTTAGGCAGTCTTGAGCCCTGTCGGGGCTGGAACCGTCTTGGGCGGCTCCTGGGCCATCTTGGGGCTCTCCTGAGCCGTCTTGGGGCGATTTTGGAGGTCTCTTGGGCCGTCTTGGGGCGGTTTTGGGGGCCTCTTCGGCCGTCTTGGAGCGGTTTTGGGAGACTTTTGGACGGTCTTGGAGCGTCGGAACCCCGAAAAAGCGAGAAGGCCAACAACCTCGAAAAAAATATGAAAATCAGCGATTTTAGTTTGTCGGCGCTCTCTTGGGAGGCCTCTTGGGATGCCTTCGGGGCCTCATGGAGCTCTCTTGGAACGTCTTCGGGCCTTCCTGACCATTCCTGAGGCTATCTACGCGCGTCTTGGAGCGCTCGCGGGCCGTCTTGGGCGGTCTCGAACTGTTCCTGGCGGTCCCAGGGGCCCTCCGGGACGCTCCGGACGCTCCCGGGGGCGCCCTGCACCCCCCATGGAGATTACAGGCATCGCCCTGGGCCGCCCCCGGGCCCTACTCCGATGAACCACGCGCGCGCTGCGCGCGCGCTTTGGTTCTAGCAAGATGCGGCGACGGTCTAGGGTTCGCAGCATCGGAGAGCAGAAAGACTTCTATCAATCATGATCAATCAGCAAACCGCACCATCCCTCTATGCCCCCACGGATGCACGCCATGAGCCGCAGTCGACCTTAATCCTGCATTCTCCTCTCAGCAAACCCTCTCAATCCCTTCCCTTTCCACACCCATTTTGGCGGACCAATGGAATCACATTCCACGCGGCAGAGGAGCTGTTGCGGGCGCGGTGGACGAATTCCACTTGGCATGCAACGCGAAAAAGTATGTTCGTTGTCGACGCGGTGGACGTGTTCCACTCGGCGTGCAACCACATGAAACATACAGAGGGCCGCAGGTCGAAATAAGATTCCGCATGATCCCACTTCAGCTGCCTACATACCCTTTGTTTCATTCCCAGGGGGGCGCCTCGAGAAAACAACTCACACACGTACAGCAGCAGCTCGTGTGTCCACCGGGGGGAGGAGGGGGGGCGGGCCCCAGTGCTTAATCAACCCGGTTGAAGCAGCCGCTTTAAGCAGCCAAGATCTGGTCTTTGGGGAGGAGGGAGCGGGGGCCCGCGCCGATCGGCGAAACAAGACATAAGAAACAGCTACGTACCTCTCAAGACGGCTCAATGGGCCCGATTTCGGCACACCCCTCACGCACTCTACGCCTATCCAAGGCCTAGACGACCCAGAGCGTCCAAGGCCCACCTCGAGCAAACCCAATGTCTCGGCATTCCCACAAATTATGGCAATGGAGCGAAGCTTCCGCGCGTTGAGCGGAAGTTCAAGCTCAAGCTAAAAGAGAACTATAAAATGGAGCGAAGCTTCCGCGCGTTGAGCGGAAGTTCAAGCTCAAGCGCATACAGCTGGACTTCAAATAATTTGGATCGAAAATGGAGCGACGCTCACAGCGAAGGCAGAACATCAAGCTCAAGCTAATGTGAAGGGGAGCCCCAGGTTGCCGTGGGCCTGCAGAAGGTGGGTCTCCTTTCTGCGGTCCAGGCGGCGCCAGAGCACCGCTCCCCTCGGATCCTGCCCAATGCCTGCCCACGAACCCCCAGGCCTGTCCAAGGTCAGCCCGACGGCCTATCCAATGCCTGCCTCAGGCTTACCTGGCGGCCTTTCAAGAGCTGATACATGGCCTACCCAGAACCCAGTGAAGGCCCGCACACGACCTAGCCAAGGCTCATCACAGATTTGTCACGTCCAAGATCCTTACAAATTTTACGTCTAGCGAACCACATGCGAGCGCCATAACGAATGTGAACACCCAAATGCGCGCGATCACCGTGCCCGCGCTCGTCTTACAACCGCGACGAAAATCTTTACAACGATGGGCTGTCGTGAAGGGTTCTATGGTGCGCCCACCTTCGTCGTGCAACCACCGCGCAAAATTTGCCAACACTGGGCCACCCTGAAGGTTTGAACGGTACGCGCCAAAAAAAATCGACAACGAAATAATCGAT